ACAAAAAAGTTACCAGAACAAAAAAATAAAAATTCACAAATTATTGATGATGAAGAATGTGGAACTTTGTCAAAACCACTGAGTTCACTAGCTAGTGATGAAACATATTTTCCGGTAGTATGGCCATGGTGGGCGCCAATATTAAAATTTCATACAAACCAATCTTTGGAATATGACTGCGGAGGTACACTTATATCATCTTATACAGTATTAACTGCCGCACAATGCTTTGTGCCTATTAATCAAACTGTTACACCTGTACAAAAAGAGAAGTATCGTGTCGGTTTAGGACTTTCTAATCGAAATAACTTTAAAAAAAAAAATACTTTTATATCTCAAATTGATGAAATCATTATACATTCAAATTATGATAGCACAAAAAATACATTTGAGAACAATATTGCTGTTATAATTTTGGAGCAATCTTTTAAGTATGTACCTAAATATTATAAAAACATTTTTAATAATACAACCCAAACGTAATCAAAAATTTTATTTTTCAGATATAATGATCGAATTCGACCGGCATGCTTATGGTCTAGTCAAGATAGAAATGAAAATGAAATAGGCTATTTAGTTGCTTTTACAAATTTTAATCCAAACTCTAGTTTAAGTTTATTCACATCTAATATTTTACCCTTGAATAATTGCGTTGACAAAAGTAATGACAAAAGTAATACAGCAAAACCAATATCTGAAAATATTTGTGGAGATACACCCGAGAGAACTGTTTGCATCAATACTTTTGGTCAAGGTTTATTGACTGAAAAAAATGAAAAATTATATTTACGGGGAATCCTTATAGGTAGTGTAACGACTGCTTATACATATTGTGATTTAAATCAAGGCACGATTTATACAGATGTCAGCAAATTTACCGAATGGCTAGCGCAAGTTTTGGTAGACATAACCGAACATAAACTCATGTAATACATAATAAATAATATCGTACTAATATTTAATAAAATAATTTAATAAAATTTTCTTATATGTTTAAAAACGAATTAAAAATGAAATTTTTCATTTTAATTTTCCGAATTTGCTTGTTTTAAGTCAAGATGCTATTTAACTTTTACACCAAAGTTTATAGTGTTATGATGTAAATTTAATTTAAATTACAGACGGGTTATTTTTTATGATTTTATTGCTATAATGTTAAAAATTAATATTTTCTTCAAAGTTAGGTATTCCTAACAATGTTTAATTACATAATATACTGTTCGAATGTCACAAAGTGTATATTATGCGGAAGGATCGATTTCTTCAAAATTCTAAATGACAACTTAATTTCTTGAATAATTCTAACAGAGTGTAAACTAATGCGTTGTTTACATTGCCGCGACAATGCGACAGTGAGTGTTATACGAGATGTCGCAGAAATCAGTTTGTCGCAATTCAATTTATATTCGCAGCAACAGCAACAGTCATTTATTCAAAAATAATCTAATCATAAAGTGTTTACTGGGTTTATTAATTTTTCAACTTCTTCTCGTTTAAGTTTTTAGCATTGTTTTTTTTTATTTTTTTTTTTTTGTTGAAATTGTAATATAATGACAGTTTTTCTTGCATTTTATATTTCTCAATTAAAAATGATGTTTGTCATTCAATTATCATCACATATTGAAGCGACAAATGTCAATTTTCCGATATTCTGCGACTGTCCCACCCTATTTAAATCAGTAAGTTAATTATATTGACATTCTGTGCGGCTGTTGCTATGGCAGTATCGCAGTAATATGAACAATCCACGATCTTCAACAAAAAAAACCTTTTAAGTTTTTTAATTTTAAAGTGTTTTAATTGACGATTTAACTTTTTCAAAATTACAATATTCATAATTAACATTTCCAAAATAAATTGATCTTGTTCGAGTTTGAAAGATATCTATAATCCAATATCATCTTCCTTATTTTTAAGAACGAAATGATGAGTTTATAATACACCAATTAAAACTAATCAATCCCGTAGAAATATTTCAAATTAATAAAATCTTAAAAACTTTTGCGTAGTTGCAAAATTTCTTAAATCTACACATTATGTATACACATATGTATGCATACAAATGCAAACATATGTAAACAAATACATACATACATTCTTTTATTACATTTTACGGGATCGAGAAATCAAAAAGCTCTTTAATTAATATTTAGAGAAACGAAAACAAAGTTTCGGAATATTATAAATTAAATTATACAGTTTGAAGGTGGTACAAAGATGTACTTTTATTGTATTTTAATTAAAGAATAATTTAATTTACCATTAGATTTTTCAAAAAAAAAACTAAATATTTGTAAGTCATTAATTAATTAAAATAGTGAAAAAATTTAACATTTTAAAAAAAAAAATAATTACTGATACTTTAATTTTTAATTAATTCTATTGCAAATTTGTTTACGTTTACATGACAGCTGTTTACAGTCAAAAGGTTATTGGAAAAATCGATAGAAGTTGATAAACCTTAAATATTAACAATTTTGTTATTTTTACATATTATGCTGCATCTTTTGTTTTTAAACTGACCTCTTGCGAGATACTTTTGATTTGTATTTCATATCATAAAAACAAAATTAATAAACAGAGAAAGAACTTGATTTCTTCGAAAATTAAGTTTCTCTCCACAAAAATGAGAGAAGAGTGTCGTTTAAAATATTGAATTTTTGTTTGTTTTTATACCTATACAGTTATGGAAAAACCGGATTACCTATACTTATTAAAAATTTATTTAATTTTGCAAATGTTGATAAATTACATTTTAAGTCGTTAACAAAGGAGCAACTTAGAAAATATTATACAATTTATTACAAATCTACAAAATGTGTAATATAAAACGAATTAAAATATAGATTTAAACAATTTAAATGAAACTTTAAACGTGTATCAATAAATTTAATGCTCACTCATAAAAACAATGCTACCATTGATTAAAAATTAAAACTAGCACGTAATTCAATTGTATAGTGAAATTTTGATGTTTTGGTTTATACGAGTTTGTAATAAATTTATTTTTCTAAATATTTCAGGTAATTTGTATTAGCCCTTAAGACGATCTATAGAAGAATAACACTTAAAAAGTTATAAAGTTCGTTAAAATGAAAATACTCACACAAGAATCATGTTATAATATAGACATAAATTACTTTTATCTTACAAATTACATAATTAATATCTTATTTTAGATTCTGGACGTCCTCTTAGTGAAGTATCATTAAATTTTTTTTTAAAGCTACCAAAAATTGATTCAAACTCTGTCACGGCGACAACAGAAGAAAAATCAACATCAAAAAACGCTAATATATGTGGGGTTTCGTCAACACCAATAAGTTCAATAATCCAAAGTAAAACTATAAAACCAGAAGCATGGCCATGGTTAGCTGGTGTATATAAAAAAAACCCTGAAAATTTGTTAACATACTATTGTGGAGCGACAATTATAGCAACAAATGCTGTTTTAACTGTTGCACATTGTTTTTTTCGGCTTGATTTGACTTCAGAAATAAAAAATTTTCGTGTTGGCCTCGGAATATTTGATCACAACAATTTAAATGACTCAAATACAATTATAGCTGAAATTAGTCAATTAGTAATACATCCAGATTTTCATACAACAAGTCAAATTCATGATGCTGATATAGCTTTGATAACACTTGACAAATCTTATAGGTTATTTTTATATTAAAATAATTCAAATAGTATACTAAATAAAAATGTATTTATTATAGATATACTGATAGAATACGTCCAATATGTATGTGGATTGGTAATGCAAATCCTAATGATATTGAAAATGAAGAAGGTATTACAGTGAGTTTGGATGAAGACAATAATCAAAAATCTGTTTTAAATATTTACACAATGGAAATTGTTTCATCTGATACATGTCTTAAATCTAATGCTTTGTATAAACAAAGAATATCAGGAAGAAATTTTTGTGCCGGATATTTAAATGGTCAAGGACCTTGTTATGGTGATTCCGGTAATGGTTTAATGATTGAAAGAAACGGTAAATTATATTTACGAGGTCTTGTGGTGGGAAATATAAAAACACCACGAGGGGAATGTGATTTTAGTCAATATACTGTTTACTCAGATGCCGCCAAATTTAGGAAATGGATTAAAGCATATGTTGAATATTAATTAATAATATAATATAGTGTGTATACGTACAATTATATAAGCATTTGAAAATGTAATAATAGAAATTTTAGATTTTAGTTTGAAAATAAAAAAAAAATTAATGCTAATTAAAATAAAATTTCTTTTAAGAGTTACTAAGAAGTTAAAAAAATGTAATTTTCAATATTTAAAAATACAATTACCTTTTTTCATACAATAAAGCCCAAAACTAAGTGGAGATAAAAAGAATTATTTTTCACACAATTCGAAAAATCTTACAAAAATTTGAAATCGAGAGAAGTTTTCATACACGTTTTGCTTTTGATTCAGCACGTCAGTTGAGAACTATTGCAATCATTCATAAATATTGTATATGCAATCAAAATTTGTAGCTTAATTATTTAAAATTAATTGCAAGTTAGAAGACACTAGTATAGCTTATAGCATATGAAAAAATTTCAAAGCTTTCTTGTTATTAGTCATTTTTATATTTATGTCTAGCGTTCACCTTCATTTAAAATTCTATTTAATAGAGATTGTTTGAAAATTAGAATCAATAAGAACGTAGATCTTAATGAAATAACTAATTTTTCTTTAATAAATGTGAAATTTTTCTAAAAAAATAATATTTTATATTAAGTGTTCTGTGTTGTATGTAATTAAATAGTATTTAGTTTTTTTTATCGCACCTTGGAGAAAACACTTGTTTCTCTTAAAAATATGTTGAAATGCAAATATGTTGCAAAATTAATTTTAAATTGAACAGTTCTCGAGTTTTGTAAAGAAAAAACATACGGGTGTAATAAGTTAGTAAAATAAATTATTTATTAAATTAAAAAAAATACTTTAGCCATTGAGATTGCACGGTTATAAAAAGCATATTAAAAAATTTAGCAATTGTATTACCGTTTCCAAGCATTTTCTAGCATTTGTACATACCCAATAATTTTAAATAACGCCCTTCCAGTTTTGTTGTACAACATCAACAAAATTTAATGAAATTATAATTTTTGTGAAAATGAAAATCATAAATTTTATATTGATTATAACAACTATATTCATTGATTTTTCGAAAAGTCAACCAACTTCAAAAACAAAATACGGAAATATAATTGTTAAGGGCGGAAGAAATACAATCAACATAATATATCCATCAGATCAATATGTACGTACGAATTTAAATGTTATACAATTAAAAGTTATAAGGTTTTTTTAAATTTCGTATAGATTCCGTATAATGGAACAGTAGAAATTACTAAAAGTATTGAAAAATCTCTTGAAAACTTTTTTGACCGATTGTATAATACAACAATCAAAGCATTGCAAGCTAATCCTAATGGTAACAATAATATCAAATTTAAGCAAATTATTAAAAGATGCTTTTACAGATTTTTAACTCTTTTTCAGGTTTACAAAGTAATTTTGATGAAACGAAATTTCCTATAAATTCAAGAAATTCAGATAAAGATTTTGGAAGGCAAATTACTGAGGCTACAGATAAATTGGATTTGGAAAAATATGATACTGATAATTATGATACCAATAAATTTAGTAATACAAAACCAATAAATGATAACGATAGTAAAAAATCAACAAAGGACGTACCAAATCAAACAACCGAAATTAAGCAACCAGAAAAAAATTTAAAAGATGTCACAAATTATGATTGTGGTATTATATCGAAACCAGTTAAATCACTGGTTGGGAAAAGTATTCCACCAGGAGCATGGCCATGGTGGGCACCAATATTAAAATATAATTCAAAGGGACTATTGGAATATGACTGTGGAGGTACACTTATATCAAAATATGTGGTATTGAGTGCGGCAAGTTGCTTCCCGAAAGAAACTTTATTCAGTATTAATTTAGAAATAGAAAAATATCGTATTGGTTTAGGACTTTCTGATCGAAGTAATTTCAAAGAATCAAATTCTTTTATAGCCAAAATTACAGAGATAATAATACATCAAAATTATGATGATGAGGCAATAACAGAATCTTATAATAATAATATTGTTATGATGTTTTTACAAAAATGGCATAAGTATATAATATAATAATTCTTAAAACAATATGTAAACTATATCTGAAATATTTTTTGTTTTAGTTTCAATGAAAGAATTCGACCAACATGTATTTGGCCAGATAATCCTAGTCAAAGTGAAATTGAAAATGAGGAAGGTTATGTTGTTGGTTTTGTTAATAATAAACCGAATACTAATTTCAGTATATTTAAAACTAATATTCAATCATCAGAAAGTTGTATTAGATCAAATCCGAATTTAAAATCAAAAATATCAGATACAAATTTCTGTACCAAAGCTAATTCTGAAACTTTTTGCTTTAATATATATGGTCAAGGTTTATTAATTGAAAAAAATGATAAATTATACTTGAGAGGAATTCTTGTGGGTAGTATAGCAACTGCGTATACATTTTGTAATTTGAATGTAGAAGCTATATATACAGATGTTTCCAAGTTTTACGATTGGATAACACAGAATATAAGAGACTATGATTATGAAGAGGAATCTTAAACGAAATGAAGATATGCAATTTCAATACAATTTGAAATTCTAAAATTTTGATTAATTTTGTGAGATTAAATTTTAATAAAATTTATATATAAAGTTTCAAAAAATATTATTAGAAAGCATTTTGAATAAAATACTATTTCTCTTTATATCTAATTCGAATATATCTAATTCGATAATATTGTAATTTTAAAATATATAAAAACATTTATAAACCAATAAACAATTGCATAAATGGATTTTTTGTTATTGAACGTGAAACAATACTTAAATTGTGGTTGCAGTATACTTTATACCACAGAAAATCAAATATGAATATTTTCTGCTATTAGAAACAAAAAAAGCTTTGAACAATGCAAAGAAATATTTTACAGACTTCATAATTATAAAGATTCGAATAGAACCAGAAATGTTTCCAATTATTTTTACCCGTTTAAGTTTTAGATTCAGAAATAAACAAATCTTTAGCTTGAGCAAACTTGATTTAGTTTCACGTTTCTACTACTATATAAGGTTACTTACGTGTTTTGCATTACTACAAATAAGCTTAATTAATAGAACGCTATACGTATTTAATATTAAGTTCTGTGTTAGTGTATCGTATATCCTTGTATATTACACCATTCAATTAATAAGGTAGGGTATAATAAAAGCTCTTAAACAGGTTTAATAGCTTATCATATTTTTCCACGTTTAAAATTATTTGAAAAAATTTCAAGCCGGTTAAAATTCGAAATTATTCAAGATGTAAACCTAAAAAAGAGTTTCCACAGTCATGTAGAAAAGTTTTCATACACTTCTTTAAAAATGCATTTATTTTATAATCTTAAAGTAAAAAATATTCGAAATAAAAAAAATTAGTACATACCTACATTGTATATATGTACATATAAATCCATTTAATGTCACAATAACCACTAAATTAATGACAATGAACAATGTCCACTAAATTGCAAATTTTTCAAAAATAAAATAATAAAGCTAGATATTTTTGTGAAACTTTGAAAGTTCATACTTTCAGCTGGAATAGTCGGACAAATTTTTCAAAAAAAGTAATATAAAAAAAAATTGCATTTGAGTACATATTTTAGTATTTTTTAGAACCTATCTATTATTTTTTAGATCTATCCGAACCTTGTTTTTCATATTACGCTACTTAATTACTCATCGTTCTAATTTTGAATAAAATCATTCATTTTTTAAAATATACTAAATATTTAACAGATAATTTATTGCTCAATAAACTTGACATTTCTTGGAGTTTCCAAATTAAAATTTAAGTACGTAAATCTATTGTATGTATTGTAGTGCTATAATTAAAGCTGCTTAGGCTAGTTCAAGAGCACCTTAAATTTATTTTTAAAAAACCCATTTTCAAATTAGACGTAAGTATTTTTTACGCAATTCGCCTAAAGAATTATGCTGGCAAACAAAAAATTAACTTTAATGGCTTTAGTTTTCGAATTCGACTGGGACTCTCCTATTAAATTAATTCATGAAGATTTATAACAACATTTTAAACAAGGTATAAAGTAAGTTTTTTTTTTTATTTTTTTTTTTTACCTACCTCATTGCATACAATAAGGGAGGACATGTGATGACACCAAATTTCGGATATCGAGTTTTCGATCGGAACAAATTTCTCCATGATAGGGAAGGATAATTAAAGTTTTTTTAGAGAGATGTCAATTTGTATGAGTAAATCTGCATCTTAAATTCAGCTGAAACGATTTATATTCGAGTATGTCACGGATTTATTAACTTTAAGCACACAACAGGCCTCGGGTACCTTTTTGCGTGCGGTTTTACGTGATTTTTGGGCATATAAAGAGAAAAATCAAATAATTTGAAATTTAATATTGAATTTATTTGAAATTGGGAACAATGAACATATAAGTTTCTTGGAAAGATCAGCTATCGGGAACGTTACTAATGGCTGATTTTAAATTTTTCTCATATCTAAGGAAATAATTGATGGAACTTCTTGAAATTTAATATTTGAGTTCTGGTTGTTGCTGAAATCAACTGGCGGACTCTTTAGAGGATTCGGCTGGTACAAAGCGGAACTCTACTAAAAGCCAAATTTACATTTTTCTAGGTATGTTAATTAAAAGTTTACTAAGTGTCCTTAAAATTGAAAAGAAAGGCACTTTCATAGTCTTCCACAATACTTTCGCTAAACTAGACAATTCACATTGCGGTCAGTTATGTGCTGACCACATTCGATTTTTTTTTTTGTTAAAATCTCAAAGCTTTTCCTTTTTTTTTATTTCACTCTCTTCTTTATCTATTTGTTTTGTTTCTTATTCTCTTTTTGTGTTTTAGGAAATGTTTCTCTTTCTTAAGAAATTTTATTAGTGTGTTGTTTTAATATTTTACAAATTGAAATTATTAAAAAAATAAACTTCTTTGAAGTAACATCACATTAATTTTATCTAATAATTCAATTTAATAAAAATAAAAAGAAAATAAATAAATTAGAGTTATTGTTAGTAAACTTAATATAAAAATTGTAATACATTCGAATAGTTATAAGGTTGAAATTAAATAATCTTTAATTTATTGTTTAATTTATAGTGTTAATTTAAAAAAAAAATTTAAAATAATAATTAGATAATAAAAGTTTTAAACAATTATATTTAATTTTCAATTTTAATTAACAAATAAATCCAATTGAAATTTATTTTGCATTAAAGAAAGAGTAAATGAATTTTACTAATTATTCGGAATGTAATGAATAAATTTTAAGAATGTAATTTTATTATGTTATCTATATGCATTAGTCCTAATAATAATTCGTTACAAACATTCATAGTTGATGAATCATAATATTATAAAGAGTTGGGTATACACCTATTTATAAAATATGATAATAAAGTGTTTTTTATGTAAAATAAGCAAAAGTATGCTCAAAAACAAAATAAGAAACGAAGAAAAAGAGAATTTGTTAACTGGTTTAAAATAAAAATTTATTACTTAGACTTTTACAAAAAAATTTCTTTTCAAATTCATAATGTGATAAAATTTTTTTTTTGCGCAAAAAACATAATAGATTTGCGTTATTAAATTAACTGACGTATAGGGTTAAAGAAAGAAAAAAAAAAGAAATTATAATAATAAACAAAACTGGTATATGAACATTTTTTTTATACTTATAACAAATAATTAAATTTACAAATATAAAAATAGAAATTTTTATTAAAATAATGAAATATTTAATATTAATTTTATTAAAAATAATTTTTTTATTTATAAAATTATCAAATAATCAATCGGTACCATCAATACCATGTCCAAATATATTTAATTATTTTCGTAATTCGAAAACAAATGAAATTGAAGGATTTCTTAGTATATCAGATATTAAAACTGGTAGAGAAAATGTAGTTATAGTAAAAATGTCATATCCACCGTATGTTGTAAATGTATGTGATTATTTTTTTTATAAGATAATATTAAGCACTTAAGTTAACTTCTAAATTGCAGTTAAGAATCTAAAAATTATATTATTTTTATATAACAATAACCTGCTTTTCTAAATATGTTTTAAATTTAAAGCGAGAGGCACAGAAAAAATTCACATTTCAATGTCAATGCTGTTCATGACTACTTTTTACGTTATTCATTCAAACGATTCAATTTTAAGACACTTTCTCGCATATTTCAGCCGGAATACTACCATACTGGATTACCAGTTTCTTTCCAACTTCTAAACAAATTAAATTTATGCTTTATGCCGGAAGACCGTTTTATTAACAGTGTTGCACTAGTCGCTCAACAGTGACTCAATATAATATTCTTATGATGTTCGATTTTTTTTTTTATTCTTTTTTTGTTCCTTTGCTCTTTCGTAATTAATTAATTTCACAATTTGGAAGTTGACTGCAATAATAAAATATTTTTTCTCTTTTAATTAAAAAAATATTTTGACAAATTTTTTTTCAATTCAAGGATAATCCAGGGGTGATTGGTCTCGCAAAATCGGAGGCAGCAACGAAAAACGATATTATACAACATCAACCGGTTGCATATAAAATCATTTTTCCAACAATTGACCCTGTACCAAAATTACAAGAAGTAATTTTTAATGGTGCAATAATTTGCAGAAATCAAGGTATAAATTCTTGTACAATTTTTTATTCTATTAATTTTTATATTATTCAATTATTTTAGATTATCAAAGTGGAGACAGTGAAATAACATTATCTTATAATTTAAAAGTACCAAATTTACCTCAAATACCAAGTACCTATTCTGGCATAACAAATCGAGATAGTATCATTCAAACACCAAATATTAATTCATTTGCAACTTCAATATCAGAACCATTAAATTTTCAAACATCACAAAGCGATAACACAATTTCATGTGGTAATTCAATAGCTCCAATACGTTTAATTTTTGGTGGTAGTAAATTTCAAAAAGGTAGTTGGCCATGGCTTGCTGCGATGTTTAGAAGAACATCAACAGGACAATTTAATTACATATGTAGCTCTAGTATAATAGCACCTAATGCTGTATTATCTGCAGCACACTGTGTTATTACTGAGAACGATGTAATTACTCAACCTCACGATATTGTTATAGGATTAGGAATTTTTGATTTAAATATATGGAATGAACCAAATACATTTATATCTAATGTTCGTAATATAGTGCCACATCCAGATTATAGTAAAACAAATCGATATTATGATGCTGATATTGCTATAATAATTTTAGATAGATCTTATCCGTAAGACAAAAAATAGAATCGAATACAATAATGTAATTATTTAATATTATATTTTTTAATTTTAGTTATAACGAACGAATTCGTCCAATATGCATGTGGACTGGTAAAAGTAATGTTAATGATATTGTAAATGAACAAGGTTATGTAGCTGGTTGGGGTGTCGCTAAAGTTGGAGGTAAAACAGAACGTTTACCAAATATTATTGAATCAGAAATTGTTTCCCATGATACATGCCTTAAATCAAATATTGCTTTTCACGAGTTAATTTCAAATAGAAATTTTTGTGCTGGCTACAGAAATGGACAAGGACCGTGTAAAGGTGATAGTGGCAGTGGTTTCATGATTGAAAGAGGTGGAAATTGGTATTTGAGAGGAGTAGTTTCTGGTTCTTTAACTCATGTTAAAACTGTTTGTAATTTAAATGAATATGCTATTTATACTGATGTCGCAAAATTTAGAAAATGGATACGCAGTTATGTTAACTATTAGAATTATTTATTAATACTAGTTATGTTAACTATTAATTAAGTATTTGTAAAAAATAAATTTATGTTCTTTTTTTAGTTTCAAAAAAAAAAACTGTATGTAAATAACTTAATTATTTTCTATTTATATTATTTAAATTACAATTATTACTTTAAAAGTGAAGTATTCTATATTATAATCAAAAGAACGTATTTGAACTTGAGTTTTCTTATAGGTCATTACGTCTAAAATCGTGTAATTACGTTTTCAGAGGAAAAGCATTATGCAACATGGCAGTATAGTTGATTTCGCTGTTATATAGTGGTTTAGGAGTTTAAATGCTAAAACAACAAACACTTTTTACTCAATCATTCTGCAAATATTAAAAGTAGTATTGCCAAATATAAACTGACCAAATATACGTTAACTTTAAAGTTAACGTCAAATTTGTTTAAAACATCTACAGTAAAATACTACATTCAAACATACTCGAATACTGTATTGCAAGCAGTCATACAAAAAATTTTGCAAATATCTTCTGTTTATTCCCTCTTCTTTCCAAGTCGGTGTACTCTGTAACATGAAGAAATTGCATAAAATTAATATTTAATACAAAAATAAATTAAGATTATTCGATCAATGAGTCGTGCAATTTGAATTTTACTCAAAATCTATATTACATAATTTGCAAATTCCCCATTCACCATAGTATATCACCCTTTATATACTACAATACAATATATTGTTCCTTTAGAAGCCTAGCAAAGGTACTTGTAGACTAAGTTGAAATAAATTCAATGAAATAATATCAATAATTAAATTTTGCAAATATATGTATGGGTTTTGATTCTACGATTTTCAATTATAATATTTTACCAACTTTTATTTTCATTTTATGAATAACAAAAAATGAAACAAGTTTTATTTTCAACTAGTTTTAAGCGATTTACGCTATTAATAAGTCAGAAATCATAATGACACCCAAAAAATAATTAATTCCTAAAATGTGTGAATCAATAAACTGTAAGTTTGTATATTCAAGTTTAAAATTTATTTTTTTCTTTTTTATAATTATGCTTTACTATCATATTAAAATTTTTGTTTTCTTTTCGATTTGAAAAATATAACAAATCTTCCATATTTTATTTAAAGTTTAGAGTTCATTGAGACAACATCATTTTATTAAAAATTTTATAATCAATTTATACTTTTTCTTAAAATCAATTAATATCCATGATAGAATATAAATATTAAATCGGACAAGAAAAAAATATACACAAATATATATGTATATAAAATTAATTTTGTTATATTTATTAAAAACAAAATATAAATATATAAATGATTCGTTAATTTAAGTGATTATTTATATTATTTTTAGTATAGTAAAACTTAAAATTTTAAATACATACATATGTATATATTTTATATAAAGAACAGCTGTGAATTAAATAACAAATAAAATCAGTAAAAAAAAAAGAATGAATAAAATAAAATTTATAGTAATTGTATTAGCATTTTTAATTAAAACATCACACAATCAATTTATTCCATCGATACCATGCCCGCAAATATTCGGTTATGTTACAAATTCACGAAATGGTGATATCGAAGGTCGAATAAATATATCAAATATTGAAGATGGTAGAGAGAATTCACTTTGGATTAAATTATCATACCCGCCAAATACAATAAATGTAATTATTTTCTTTTTATTATAATTTCATTATTTTATATTTTAATGGAAATTTGACAAAATCTTATAATATCATTTTGGATTAATTTTTGTTAATAATGTGTTTAAACTCGTGCCAATACTCACAGAAGGCAAATTTAAAAGTTTCTCTTGAAAATGAAATTCGAGAGTCTATTTCAAAATTTTTCAATTTGACCCTACTGAAATATTTCGAGATTTACGAGTTTTTGACAAATTTCCAATAACTTTTTTATTAGAAATATTATTAAATATTTATGAAAATTTCAGAATAATCCCGGAACAATTAATCCAACAAAAAGTAATAAAAATATATTAAAAGACATACAAAATGGCAAAGCAATTATATATAGAGTAATATTTCCAACAGTAAATCCATTACCAACACTTCAAGAAATCATTTTTAATGATGTAATAATTTGTAGAAATCAATGTAAGTAAATATATAAAGCTATTTTTAATTTCAAATGATTTTTTTATATATGTATGTATATATGTGCTTATTTATTTTTATAGACCCTTTATACGATGGTAGTGATATAACATTACGTCATGTATTAAATGTACCAAAATTTAAGCAACCTAATAGATCAACACAACTATTACAAAATAATGGTCATATTAGTTTATCAGCAAAAATTGATGATCCAGAACCAGAATCAAGAATAGAAATTTCAGTGCCAGCAGAAGGATATGAAACTTGTGGTAAATCATTATCATCAATACATTCAATACTTATTGGTGAAAATATTAAACCTGGTACATGGCCATGGTTAGCAGCATTATTTATGAAAGGCAGAACAAATAAATTTGATTATTTTTGTGGTGGTAGTCTTATAGCTCCAAAGGCTGTACTTACTGCTGCACATTGTGTTGTTCAAAACGAAAGTGTACGTAAACCAGAACAATTACTCATCGGTTTAGGTTTATTAGAAATTGATAATTGGAATTACCCCAATACAATTATAGCAAATGTATATAATATAATTATTCATTCTGATTTTGGTTTAACAAATCGTATGTATGATGCTGATATTGCTCTTATAACTTTGGATAAATCATATTCGTAAGAAAAATTATTTAATTTTTACAATTAAAAAAAAAATTTTTTTTCTTAATTAATAAAATTCATTTCAGTTATAATTATCGTATTCGACCAATTTGCTTATGGAATAGATCAAACGATGAAAATGAAATTATAAATGAAAAAGGTTTTATAGCTGGTTGGGGTGTTGGTGGAATAAATTTTAATAATATAAGATTACCAAATATGATTCAAACTGAAATTATATCAAATGATAAATGTCGAAAATCTAATATTGGTATAACAAATTTAATATCAAATAGAAATTTTTGTGCAGGTTATTTAAATGGTCATGATGGACCATGTAAAGGTGATTCTGGTAATGGTTTAATGATTGAAAAAAATGGTACCTGGTATATAAGGGGTATTGTTTCGGGTGCATTAACTGATAAAATAAAATGTGATTTTAATGAATATGTTGTATATACGGATGTTGCTAAATTTAGAAGATGGATACGAGCTTATGTAGATATTTAATTTATAATACATATATAAAGAAAAAACTTAAATTTAAATTCATAAAAAAAAACTAAATAAAATCTTATTTTAATAAACATAGATTTATAAAATTATAAAAAAAAAATTTGTTTTAAATTTTTATGATTTCATAGCGTCTAAAGTTACTACACAACATAATCACCTTTTTCGTATATACCCGAACAATTAAAATAAATTCTAATAATTCGAATTATATTACAGTCAAATGTACTCTATGTAAAAAAGTGGGAACTAGTTTTGGGTTAATCAGAAGGTGATTTTAAAATTTTTATCACGAAAAATAAAGAAAAGAACAAAAATAAATTGAATGTAAATCGTATGTATGTATCTGTAATATTTGCATGTGTATTTGTCTGAAAATTAATTTTAAAACAAAAAAAAAATGTTAAATATTCTCGTCTTAATCTTATCTTCAACATAATTTGGAATATTTCTGTATTCAAAATGAAAAATTTAAAATTTTTATAAATTGCCGAATTAACAGAAAAAAACCTTTATCTTCATTAGAATATTACGCAACGACGATTTTTTGTTATCGTACTTGATTTTCTTCGTAACTTATTATAATAAACTTCAAATTTTTCAAAATTATTAATCAAAATTTACTGAATCTCGAATTTTTGTTTAATATTTCATTGATAAGACGAAACCTTTAATTATCAACGATAATGAATAGTACACTCTAATTCAAATATCTTTTAAATAAATTTTAAGGCTAAAAAGTGTAAATCTGAATTTACAAAAATTCAAAAAAAAAATACATGAATCCTTACTTATAGATCCTCAAAAAAAATCTTACAGTTACTTATGCCTGACTTTATGCAAATTGATGCCATAAATTTCGACTATGACTAAATCTATAAATTTCGCTCAATATAAAATTTACCGTATTCCGTATTGCAAAAAAAAAAATAGGCATCTATAATATTGCATCTTAAAAAATTGTACAACGACACACTTTCTGAATTGTATAAAAATGCCATTTCGAAACGCAGGGAAAAGCTGTTTTGACATTAAATATTTACAAGTATGCGTTAGTTAATATTTTAAATTGACATAATGGTAACTTTTGACGTTTTTTGTTGGCTTAACTATAATATTATATAGTTAATTTTCTAAATCAAATATAATTTATAATATTAATTTAAAAAGAAATGTCAATGTCAAAAAATTTAATTTTGCATGTATCCTGCAACTTCAAAAAAAAAATTGTTTTTGTTTGATAATGCAGTGCCATTGCTATTTAGGTTTAGATTTAAATACTGCTTAAAGGCGCAAATTTTGTTCATAATACGGAATACCGCCATTATATAACTCCAGCTAAATTATATTGAATTCCAATTATCATTCGTAATTTCACCAATTAAAAATTTTTTCTAATTCAATAAATTAATTTGCCATTAAATTCCTTAAGTAAAAAAGTAGTTTTGTTAGTTTTTTTTTTAATTACATAAAAAAATTGTGCGTCTTCGAAATAATAAATTATTTTCTTAGTAATTAATTTTGTTAATTTTGCAAAAACGAAAAAAAGAACTAAATTATATAAATAGACAACCAAAAAGTTGAGTTTTAATAGCATATTTTTATGTTGAAAAAAATATTCTTATAAATATAACCAAAAAAACAGGTTAACATTAAAAATAAAAAAAAAATTTGTGAAAATTTTAAATTAATTAGCATATAAATTAAATAAGCTTAAATTCATTATTAATTCATCTTCAGTTTATAAACACAAAATTTAAGTAGTTTTCAAAATTAATTTTATTAAAAGTTTCAACGTCTTTGTGGTAACATCAAATTCAATTTAATTCATAATTTAGTTCTAAATCTCAATTAGAATTTATTTTAATTTGATTTTTATTTTTATCTATATATAAATTATGTTTAATTATTAGCATTTTTCTCGTTGAAAACATTTTATTAAAAAAAATATACAGCTATATCGAAATTAACAAAATTTTTAGTGAAGAAATTATTGAAAAAAAAATTAGTAGATATTTGTTTCTATAATGTTTAAATATATTAAATATAATTTAATAATATTAATAATAATTTGTGCAATTAAATTAACACAATTACAATCAGTTCCTGCAATACCATGTCCCGATATATTCAAATATGTTAAAAGTTCTAAAACTGGTCAAATTGAAGGAAGAATAACATTAACAATAACACAGCCTGGTGAAAATGTTTTATTATTAAAAATGTCATATCCACCTGATATTATAAATGTAAGTATACATATAACAGTGTTTAATTTTTTTTTTTTCGAGCTCGGGATGACACGCAATTTTCAGTTTTACAACTGTTTGATTGCTTATTTGTTAAAGTGTGAGCGCAATTAATGTATACCAAACTATTATTGCAAAACTATAAATGTCATGCCTACCAGAGGTCTTATAGCATTATATATTTATATGTATTCATGCTTCTAAAAAAACAAAATGTTGAAGATACAATGTGCGTCATAATGTTCGTACAAAAAAAAGAGGTGTGTACTTAAAAGTTATTAAAGCAAAAATAATTTGGAGAATTCTTGTGTTTGAAAAAACGTTAATTATGAATTTAGTTTGTTATCCACACAGATTTAATATCGTGGCAGTTGCAAAATTAGTGTTAAATGACTAACCAAAAAAATTTATAGCTTTACAAATTTTAATTGATTAACTATAAAACACTAATTTTTTGCAATAAATAATTTAATTATTAAATTAAAATATACTTACAAAACTCAAGCAAATTAAAATAATTTTTCACTTATAACATAACACAAGGGAATATTTTACAAACTACGAACCACAACAATATAAAAATATTGTTGGATATTATCCGATAAGGTAGTTAAAATGTACATACTAATGTATATTACCTAATTATTTGTATTCCAACCTTTAAAAACTCTTAAGAAGTTTAAGTTGCAGAATTTAAATATTAAACACTTACCATAAATTTTATTGGAAGACGTTTGGTTAGAACGCTATTTTTCCATTAAAGCACAATTCAGTCAATTTTTAATATTATACTTTCATAAAATTTTAATTAAATCTGACAAAATCCATTTTTGAAACTAACGTTAATATGTTAATAAGTTCTCGCTCTATTTGCAATATTTTCTTTCAATTTTAAAAACATAAAACCAATTTTTTCTTCAAATTTTCTGTAGTCTTTCCACAAATATTCAAAGACGACACCAGATCAAACGAACTACTTTTCAATCAATCGAAATTAATGAGATCAGATGAATTTAAATTTTTATTTTAATATAATTATTACAAATTATTAACAAATTATAAATAAGTATTATAAATTTATAAAAAAAAATAAAATTTCATGGCATTCTCCATTCATCGAATTTTATTAATATTAATATAAAATTTCTTAAGGTCAAAAAAAAAGTGACTATGCTATTTGAATAATGTAAAATTATTTTGAAGACTTTAGAAAAGAAATTAAAATGAAGGTAAATTATTAATTTACATTTCCTCTTTAGAAATTTCAAATTTTATACGTCATATTTACATACTTATTATATTTGGTGTAAAGTCCGAATTATAATCATTGACGTATTATTTATTTCCAATCCTCTCAAAATTCAAAAATTTATTTATTTTTACAAATTTTGCCGTCGACATTTTTCCTTAATTTAATTTAATTAATTTTCAATATTAATTATAATCTCATAAAGTTCTGGTCAGTTAAGTGTGCGCTATCATAAATACACTTAATTAAATAAACAAACAAATATAATGTAGCACGTTTTTGTTTTAAAAAATTAACATTTTTCATATAAAATCTCAAATTTTGACGAAAATATTATAAAAAATAATTTTATCTAAATGAAATCATTTATTATTTCCGGATTAAGTCAGATTAATATATAGTTATCTATGTGTTAATATAGAAAAGGTTTTATAAATTAGTATTAGCGTTAGATAAACAATATGTAAAGGAGAAGACGTTTTTCTGGAGGATCCGGATTTAATGAATTGCACGAGCTCTTGGTGCCCGTTAGAGATCTGCTACACTTTGTTAAGAGAATTGTATGTACGGCAAAGGCCTTCTATTGGCCCGTGGAGGGTTGGCAATGGGTCTTCTATTGGCCTTATATTGAGGTTCCCATCTTCCCTCTATATGACTAAACTAACTTAACTAGATAAACTATAGATATACTGTTAAGTGTTAATCATGTTAAGGAAATTTTGTAATCAAATTTATGTATTCTAAACAATTTTATAAACTTGTACTATAAAATTGGAATATTCTAGAAACAACAACATTTCTTAATTTTCGACAACGTAAAATTATAACTGAAATTATGAGATGAGATTTTTTCTCTTTATATTTTAATAGTTCAAAAATCAAGAATTCAAAATTGAAGAATATTACATTTTTGTCAAATGAGAAAGTCAGAATATAAATACGAGTATTAAGCAAGTTTTTCAACTTTTTCAAAAATAATGTGTTATAATAAATTTAAAATTTAATAAAAATCCTGTATTTATAAAATTAAAGCTTGATGACAATATTTCGATTCACGTGCCTATTTAAAATTCTTCTTTTTTTCTCTATAAATTTTAGTAGTTCTTATATTTGTGTTCGATATTAATCAAAAATTATAACGTTTTCAAACCGGTTAATAACAATGTTAAATAAAAACGTGTAAAAAAAATATTTTTTTAATTTTCATTGGAAATGAATATAATAAATTAATTATAATGTTTTTATTAAAAAAATGTCATTTTATTAAAAAACAATTTTAGGAATATCGTAATAGAATTTTATTTTAGTATATCGAATACGTGCGAGTATAAGGGTACTACATTTTAAATGACGCAATTAACGGTAATAAATCTATTAATGAACAATCCACATAAATTTTTTCCTTCATCTAACACTATGCGTTGAAATTTTCATTTTAATTCCACAGAAAAATAACTACTAAACCACTGGTGTCTAATTTCTACTTATGAAAAGCATATAAGGATTAAATATAATATTTTTGAACATTAATTACAAATGAGTTTAGAACTAATTAAATATTTTTAGAACTCCTATATTTTTAGAGCTAATTAAAAAAATTCAATTTATTTAAGTTATAATTAAATTAATCAAAAATTCTTAATCTAATTCAGAAATTAAAATATGTATAAAAAAAAATTATTTATTTCAAGGATTATGCAGGAAGAATTCATTTAACAAAAAATAATGTAGAGGCGACAAAAGATATTGCAAAAAATAAACCAATTGTATTTGAAGTTGATTTTCCAACAACAAATCCTGTACCAACTGTTCAAGAAATTATTTCAAATAATCAAATTATATGCAGTAATCCAGGTTCGTATATACAAATATTTATTTAAAATCCTAAAATAATTAAAATTATTTTCTTCTTTATTAAAATTAAATTAAAGCTTACCAAAATGATGGCAGTGAAATTATTTTAACACATAAATTAAATGTTCCAAGTTCAATTCAATTAGCTGGAAATTTACAATCATCAAGAAGACCAATTGCAAATCAACAAAATCAAAATTTGGCACAAAATTTACCAACTAGAAATGTTGTTAGTAGCGGTGGTCCTGTTTCATGTGGAACAACTACAGTACCAGTTAATTTAATTTTTGGTGGTAAAAAAATGAAACCAGGTAGCTGGCCATGGTTAACAGCAATATTTGTAAATGATAAAGGACGATTTACTTATATATGTGCTGGTAATTTGATATCACCGCAAGGAATAATAACAGCTGCACATTGTGTTACAATACCTGGAGGAATTCGTAATCCACAGGATATTAGAATTGGATTAGGTATATATAATATTGATAATTGGAATGATCCAAATGCTCAAATAGCCGGTGTTAGTAATGTTATACCACATCCTGAATATTCACGTCAGAAAATATATGATGCTGATATTGCGGTTATAATCTTAGATAGACCATATAGGTAATTATAATTGAAAATATTTTTTTTTAATAATTGAATTAGCATCGTTTTTTTTTTTCTTTTGTAGCTATACTAATTTTGTGCGACCAGTTTGTATGTGGAGAGATGAATTTGGTACAGCGACAGATCGTGAAGGACAAGTAGCTGGTTGGGGTCTTGCTAAACCTAATGGTGGTTCAGAAAAAGAACCAAGTATTGTAGAAGCACGTATTGTTAGTGATCAAAAATGTTTGCGATCAAATGATGCATTTGGTACGATAACATCAGAACGGAATTTGTGTGCAGGTTATCGTGATGACACAGGACCATGTCAAGGTGATTCAGGCAGTGGACTTATAATTGATATTGGTGGTAAATGGTTTTTAAGAGCAACAGTTTCAGGTGCAATATCACACGTTCAAAAAGTATGTGATCTTAAACAATATGTCATTTATACTGATGTTGCACAATTTTCTAATTGGATAAGTCAGTATATAAGATTTTAATATATATGATTGTAAAAAATATAATTTCGGTTTAGTTAGTAAATTAATGTAAATTTTAGAATTATGTTAAGAGAGAGTTAAATTATTTATTAAATAATTAAGAAAATATTAGTGATATTTTAAAATATAATTAAATCAATTAATTTTACAAAATTATAGTAATTTTTTTCATTTGAAGTACGAATTATTAACTTTAAACATAAAGCGTAGCTAATTTTACAAAATTTTAACCGTACTGCATAAATCTCCATTCATTTCTAATATTGTCAAATAATTTTAAATCAAAATATATACATACTCGTATCTGTAGATATACTCTAAGGCGGTGTACAATAAAAATTGTATCCGTAAAACTTATTTGTCACGAAATTTTACTCATTAATTGCTCATCAATTGCTCGTTAATAATGTTGTTGATCAATCATTCATTCTTAAAATAATAAGAAAAAAATCAGTGGCTACACGTGATTTTATAATTTGACAATTAAAATTGTGGTAAACAAAACAATGTGAAAGAAAAAATATACAACCGAGTTTTATTATTCTTACCGCCAAATTTCAAGTTTTTTAATTTTTGTTTATTTTTATTTTAATAGAACAAGTTACACTCGTAACCGGTTATATAGAGCATTAAAATAATATAAATTTTTTGAATCATTCCTATAAATATCGTATTCCAATCAAATAAAATACAAAATTAAATAATTTCTACGTCATTTGAATTTTGAAATTCTGACGACAATCGATTAGATGTACATGTAGTTTTAAACTAAACTTCTAAGGGATGACATCTCCATTGTTAAGTGTTTTTTATTTTTAAAATTATTTTCTAAACTATTAAATCGGATGTAGTATAATACTCGTAAAATAAAAAAGTTTAATATACCATAATATGTTTTACAAATTTATAAAATACATTAAATTTAAAACGAAAAGCAATAAATTTATAAATTATGGTTAAAAAAAATTTGACATTGTTTCTGATAATAACCTTAATAATAAAAATAAATTGTCAACATGTGCCGTCAGTGTCATGCCCTCATATATTTAATTATATTCAAAATCCACAAAATGGTTTAATCGAAGGACGAATTAAAGTGAATGATATAAGAACAGGACCAAATATAGTTGCAATAAGGATGACGTACTCCACGAGCGTTGGTTTAGTAAGTACTTTTCATTATCTTATATTTTAGTAATTTAAACTGAAATATTCATTAGAGTAAATATAACCTGAAACAAAAAATCTATTATACAAAATAAATTATTAAAAAGTTATTTCAAATAAAGAAATTAAAATCGCCTGCGTAAATAAAAGTTAAATATTAAGTTTTTATTACAATTTGACAGAGAATGTCAAATCATTCTTACGTCAATTAGAATTTCTTCAGATATTTGTCAAAATACCACAAATTTTCCAGATTTTTTTTCTCTTCTTAAAGTTGTGTGATAAGGCAGGAAATTATTATGAACAATTTACTTTTGAATTCAATAGACTCTTCTTTATTTTATTTATAAATTTTTAATATTTTAGGGTAATTCTGGAAAAATAAAACTAGTTAAAAGTAATAGCGGAGGAACAATAGCAAGGGAAGTTTATTATCATCATCCAATCATTTATAGAGTTATATTTCCACGATCACCTGTAATACCGATTATAAAGGAAATTTATTCGAATGGTCGTATTATTTGCAGCAATCAAGGTAACTAACGAAAAGATAAAAAATTTAAGAAATATTTCAATAATTTTATTTTAATTAAAAGTACCAAATCGTGGTGTCCGACATATTACATTAACACATCGCCTAAATGTACCACATATAACGCAATTAGCTGCTGCTAACGATCAAATAACGAACATTAGAGGAAATCAAATACCAGCAACACAAAATATTGGAACACCAAGCTCTACCTCCAACAATATATGCGGAACTACAAATTTCCCAGTATATTTGATTTATGGAGGAAAAAAAAATACACCTGGCTCATGGCCATGGTTGGTACCAATATTTAAAAGAAAACAATCGGGAGAACAAAAATACATTTGTGGTGGTAATATTATTGCTCCACATGCTATAATAACAGCTGCACATTGCGTTATTGACAATGGAAGAGTAAATAGAGCCCAAGATGTTCTTATCGGTTTAGGAATATACAATATTTTTAATTGGAATCAACCATATACTCATATATCAAGAGCCAGTAGAATAATACCACATCCTGAATATAGTGTGAAATCTATATATGATGCAGATATTGCATTAATATTTTTAGATAAATCATATAGGTATTCTAATAATTTTAAATATTAAATTTGAAAAAAAAATTTAATATTATTGATTTTAGTTATAATCATCTGATACGACCAGTTTGTATATGGAGTGGATCAAGTGATTTAAATTATGTTATAAATCGTAATGGTAGAGTTGCTGGATGGGGACAATCTAAAATAAGTGGTGGCAGAGTAGCTGAACCAAGTATAATTAATGCACAAATTGTTTCTAGTGAAAAATGTCTTCGTTCCAATGAAGCATTTAGTAGTATTACAACATCAAGAAATTTTTGTGCTGGTTATCGTGATGGTAAAGGTCCATGTAAAGGTGATTCTGGAAGTGGATTAATGATGGATTTAGCTGGTAGATGGCATTTAAGAGGTATAGTTTCTGGCTCCTTACAACATGCAGTAACTACTTGTGATTTAAGAGAATATGTGGTATACACTGATGTAGCACAATTTATAAATTGGATACATTCATACATACGTTAAAAATTTTTCAAGTTTTTTTCTTGCGTTTTATGTAAATAAAATTAAAAAAAAACTTACCATACGGGCACTAAATGGATACTTGAAATTGGGGTATTACAAAATAAATCTTCTCAATTTTCGTCAAAATCTGCAAAAGAATAAAAATATTAAGAGAAATTAATAATTGAATAAATTTTTCATTGATATTCTAAATTTTTAGGTACTTTTATATTTATATTGTAAATCAAAATTTGCAAAACATTTCAAGTTCACTAATTCATTTTTGCTCATTTTTCTCCAATTTAACAAAAATATTTGAATTATTAAATAGTTATAATCCTATTTTTTCCAACTTAATCATAGAAAAAATGTTAAGAATTTTAATGCAATAATAATTTAATGGAGCATTTAATGTACAATATTTTTTAAAATTTGGTAAGACCAAATACTAAATCATTATGAAAATAAAATAGAAGCAAACCTCAAAACAATACTAAAAAGGACGAAAGCAATTTTTTTCATCTTAATTTTAAATACTTAGAGTAACCCTCAATATACAAAAATTATTCGACCAAAGTATTTTAATGAACAATAAAATGAGCCACTTAATTCAATTCTGTAAAAAAAATTTTAATTTTAGGATCTGCTTCTTTTGCTTTCTGTTTTTCGACAAAAAAAATGTGTACGCAATTACACTTCAGTTAGTTTTTAATTAAATTAACACAGGACTCCATCTTAACAAAGAAAAATAATGTGCATAGGTTATGGTATACAAGAATGTTTAAGTGTACAATAATTGTGTACCTTGAAAATGCTTATTTTAACTTCAAAGGTAATTTTGTAATCTAATTATAAATTGGTTTTGAATGATGTGTCTAAAGTTAACCAAAAATTAAGTAAGAAAATATGGGAAATAATTTTAAGAGAAAACATATTATGTTTGATTTAAGGGTTTAATAAATTTCAATAAAAATTAATGAATAATTTTAAAACACAAAACATAAAAGTAAATTATTTTTTGTACCTTATTTTGTAATATTATTATAAAGGTTATTTTTAAGAATTTAAAATATAATAAATCATATAATAAAGACTTTCAAAACTAAATTTTCACAAAATAGAAAAACTATATAAAAAATTACAGGAATTATTGAAAAAGCAGAATAAAAAGCCTTAGAACACTAGGAAAACATTTTAGGGAAAATATTAACCGAATTAAGTTAAGGATGAAGTGTAGTAGAACAAATACATATAAATATTTAAATTAACAACTAAATCACTTTGGTTTACCAGTATTGTACAATTTGTACAATAGAAAGCATTACTTGCGACTATTACATTTGAAATAGGCTTCCATTCGATTAAATATTTTATGCCACCACCTCCCCATGTAGTACCATAAAGTAGGATGCCGCCACCTCTCTATGGATGTCCAATATGTTGTCTACGAGAGTTGCAGAGATTGCTGTGGGGCAGAGCACCCTAAAGATGCGCGTGGCTAAGGGTTACCCAAATGGTTCTATCTGCTAATGTGGAGTTTCGTGGTGGATGGAGCCTTTGATAAGCTGCCTCGTCATGTAATTGGTTTCCATACTTATGCCGATGATATTGTCATCTTCGATAGGGGCAAGTTTGAGGAGACTATTTGTAATATAGTGAAAACGATTACGAGTGGCCCAGGCCTGGTGCGATGCTGTAGGCCTCAAACTTAACCCTAGTAAGACGACCCTAGTGCCTTTCACTAGGAAAAGAAAGCTGGAGCATCAGCGCACAGTTCACGTGTTCGGGGCGCGGCTGTAGAGAGAAAATCGGAGGTCAAATACCTAAATACCAAAGCGAAGGCTGCCATTTTCGGGTTGGGAAGAAATGGAGTTGGAACGATCGGAGCGAGGGATCGAGGTCGTCTGGTCCGGAAGGTTGCGCTCCTATCGATGGCTAGAGACGACATGGTAAGGAGGTACATCTTCGAGAAATATTTTGCCTCGTTGCTGAATAATAGGAGGGACTGAGAGCGTAACTTTCAGGCCGTTCAGGGAACACACGTTATTAGATGGTACGCAGATGGATCAAAAACCAGTATGGAAACGGCTGCGGGGGTGTTTGGGCCAAGAACCAAATTCTCCGAACCTATGGGAACTTTTCTGAGTGTGTTTCGGGCCGAGGTACACGCCATTGAATTGTAAGTGTGGTTCAACCTGGAAAGGAGGTATCGGAACAGGAGAAAATGATTATGTCGGGTAGCCGGCCTGCGATCGGAGCGCTGAACTCGTTTTCAGTATCCTTCGCGGCAGTATGGGGCTGTCTTGAGAGCAAGGAGAAGGGCAAACATACCTCTTCTTGGATCGGAGTCCTTCTGCGGAATTAGACCACATACTATCCGTTGAGAATTAAGGAAAGAATCAGAAAGAAGGCTGGAGAAGTCTTCCGGGACAGCGGAAAGTCAACGAGCTCCTGGGAGGTTAAAACCAGAAGCGATTAAAGAAATAGATCCTTATACGTAGTCGCGGTGCACTGTTACCCCCGTTGCATAAATCTACGAATCTGCAAGTATTTTATTGATTCTCGCTAGGTTAGGTAAGGTTAGGTCGCACGCCCCCAGAAGGGTACACCTTGACCACTAAGGCCCGTTGCGATGCCGCCGGATCCCCCCTCTCTCCCTCACTAGAACCAGCCCGAGTTCTTCAGAAACCGTGGCCCGCTCAAAAAAGTGGAATCCAAGAGACCTCCGCCTGGAGTTTGCGAACGCCGGACAGGAACATAACAGGTGGGTCAGCGTTTCGTCCTCCTCCTCGTCTTAGCAGCTCCTACAGAGATCGTTTGCATGGCGGCCCATCCTCCTGGCATGATCGCCAATCACACAGTGTCCAGCTAAAACCCCTATCACCGCGCCAATATCTTCCCGTCGGAGAGATATTAGATTCTTCGTGCGCCGCAAGTCTAGCTTTGGTCACAACTTCCTTGCCGCATTACATGTAGTTCCATTCGCCCATCTAAGATTGGTACGTTCTGCACTGCGTAGCAGCAGCTTGTGAGTGCTTAGAGGCATGCCCAGGTCCTCCTTTTCAGGTAGAATTCCAAAAGTCGTTCCATGTCTCGCAAACTCATTCGTCTTGCAATTCCCTGAGATCCCACTGTGTCCGGGAACCCAAACCAAGTTTAACTCGAACTGCCTCGCCATCTCGTTAAGAAACGACCTACAATCAAGGAGCGTTCTGGACGTAGAGGTCTCCGGCTCCAGTGCCCTTATTGCAGTCTGGCTGTCCGCGAAGATGCTAACACTGCCCGCGGACACCACATGCTCACCAATCCAGCACAGAGCCTCCCCAATTGCGACCACCTCTGCCTGAAAGACACTGCAGTGGTCCGGCAGATGGAAGGAAAGCTCAACTCCCAATTGCTCAGAGTAAACACCCATGTAGAAATTGACGGAGCCATCCCTGACCGCGTCCAGCCAGCTTTGCCTCGGCAGGACCGATGCCCCGAAATTCCTCACGAATGAGAGCACGGGAGGAACCAAATCAACTGACCCCACTCCGTGACCCGTGGGTCAACACGACCACTGCGATGCGGCCCCAAGGCGGACTGCAGACTCCGCAGCCATCTGCTTGCCCAGTATATCTAATGGCAGCAGATGCAAGAGAATCTCAAGAGTCTGTGTAGGGGCGGAGCGCAGAGCTCCACCAACACACACCATTACCATCCTCTGAATCCTGCTGATTTACCTTAGGTTTAAGGAAGTACGGAGCGCCGGCCACCACATCAGAACTCCGTACATCAGAATCGGTCTCACAACCGCGGTGCACAGCCAATAAACCATGTTTGGTTTCAGGCCCCACCTCTTCCCGATGGCCCTTTTGCACGAGTAAAGCGCAATAATTGCTTTCTTTACTCTCTCCATGATGTTAAGTCTCCAGTTCAGCTTTGAATTCAGAAAAAGCCCCAGGAATCTAGCCTCCCTGCTGAAGAATAGGCCGATTCCGCCAAGTTTCGGAGGAGCCACGCCCGGAATCTTATCTCCTACTGAAAACGACTAGGTTAATAGATAGCCCACAGTCGGTCGCCCAGTTCGAAACTAGGCTAAGAGCCCTCTGTATTCTCGCTAACAATATACTAAATGCACATTGCACTTAGAAAATATATATTTGCTACCATATTGTATGAAAAAATTGATTTCTCTATTAAATGTAAATATGGACATAAAGTGTTAATTCACTCGTTGCGTGGAAATATTTCTGACAATTCACTAAAAAATTCATCCTGGAATGCAATAGAAATTAGAATACACCATTGACGTGTCACTTATGCAGTTGGCTCCAACGATGAGTTTTTTTAACTCTGTTTTTTATTTAAATATAAATTGTACTCAAATGTATAGATTATGGCAAACATCAGCTAATTACTACATATACTTCACTTAGACTCCCTGCTTGTGGTTTGGGAGAAATATAATACTCGTAAAGCATGAAATATTATTATTATTTTAACAAAAAGAAAATTATTTATGAGTATAACATATTTTATAAAAGGTACACTATTGCAATATATACAGTTTCAAATAATATACACACGTTATTTATACTTAAGAAATTAAGGTTCCCAAAATAAAAACTCATCTTCACATAATTCTTATGTTAACACAACTATTCACTTTAATCATATTTGTATCATGTTATATATATAAACTTAAATTGTTTTGCGTTCTCCTTCAAGCCCTTCCCTTTCTTCATCTACAACTTTTGGAGCAAGCAAACATATTATTAAAAAAAAAATGGATCTAATAAAATTAAATTATCATCGCAAAGCAAACATAAAGCACAATTTTCTTTTTGCATAATTTTATCTTTGTTTTCAAAATTTTTATATCATGCAATTTATCTCATGAATAAATTTAAAAAAAGAAATGTAGACGAGATGGAAACAAAAAAAAATTAAAAAATTCTATCTGAATTTGAATAAGACAAGAAAAAAATAATAATAAGATAAGAAATTAATACTTATAGACACTTGCGATGAGTTCACAATGTTTGTGTATCAAAGAGATGTGGCGCTTTATATTGTTATTTATAGTATGTACAGTGGTTAATTCGATAAAAGAAAGCAAATGACCTCAATGTTAACCTAATATTCATCCCCTTTTTTAAGCTAAAA